GTTTTTCAACTCACGTGGAGCCACGAGGGCTGTGGCAGTATCGAAGACGATGGCTCCACAGTAGATCAGGAAATACAATTTTTTCCGATGTTCTCCAGCATCAGCAAGCCCAATTGCATCGATATAATGGTTAAAACGGTTCTTGTATGATTCCCACTTCTCCTCATCCGGTTTGAACGCTGGGAAGACTGGATTGGAGTTCATGGTGATGGGGCCTGTAGAACAACCTGTGGAAAAAATCTCTCTGGGGCAGCAGAAAAATGTTCTAGTGCCTGTGGCAGGCAAGTGATTTCAGCTCTGGAGAGGCTTTTCGCAATCCTCTCTCTCTCTCTGGGTTAGCCACGTTTGGCCGTCAGCCGTTGGTGGCGTTTAAATTCGTGCCTGTGTGGGCGTCAGTGACTTGACTACGGCACCGTGCTGTGCCTTTTAGGTTTGAAATTCAAATGACAGCCGTTTGAATTTCGCGCCTAAACAATGAGCGGCTGCGGCTTGCAGCGCTTCACTTTCCTTGTAGCTGGGCTAACAAGCAGCTACAGACGCTTCTAACTTTTCGTTCTGACCGCTCTCTCTGGCTGCGGATCAGTGTTCGCTTCGATTGCTTGCTGGCCGCTTTCTCTGTCAGCGGACCAGCGTTTGCTCTTTTTGTTTGCTCTTTTTGCTTGCTGACCGCTCTCTCTGGCTGCGGATCAGCGTTGCTCTTATCGCCGACCGATCGCTCTCTCTGGCTGCGGATCGGCGGCTAGTGACTCAGCGGTTGCATGGTGCTTCTGGTAGCCATCCCATCCTCGTCGCCAGTGTTAAGTTTGGGAAAAGAGAGGCTGAACCAGAGCATGAGTGCAACAATACTTTATTATAACAATAAAGGGCTGACCGTGCTTGCCACGCCTGGAACTGGCTCGCAGCGATCAGCGACGGGTTGGACCCCGCAGCCTGCTTTTATAGCTGGCTGCTGGGGAGAACCAACCAATGGGTAAAGGGGAGAACGCCCCCGCAAAGTGAATGGACCTGAGTGAGAACTCCTAGAGTCCTCAGGACATAACAGGGGGGACTTGCCCCACTCACCCCACACACTTCCCCTCTCCACTGGGCTGCTTCTTTCCGCTTCTTTCTTCTTCTGCTTTTGGCTGAATGCAAGGAAAGAAGCAAAAGTCTTTCTTTCTCTCCCCCAAACTCCACCAGAAATGAGTCTTTGTGAGTCTTGTCACACTGGCGCAGCCTTTTGGAGCAGGATGCCATGCAAAGACTCATTTCGGGCAGAGTTTGGGGCAGAGAAAGAGACTTCTGCTGCTTCTGCTGCTTTTCTTGCACGAAGCCAAACGTTTCTCTCTCTTTCTCCCCCTGAGAATGGTATCCTGCGATCCCAAATAAAGAATGATTTATCGGTAGGAAAACGGGGTGGGGAATTTTCCTGCAGACTTTTTTGGGATTTTCCCAGGGTCTCTGGGCCTCAGGATTTATGAGTTTGGGGGTCCCTGAGGTCTAAAAGGTTGGCGACCCCTGTCCTAAAGCCTGTTTGGTGTAGTAATTAAGAAGTTAAAAACTGGGACACCATGAGTTCTAGTCCCTCCTTAGGCCCAAAGCCAGATGGATTATTTTAGGCTAGTCACTTTCTCTCAGCCTTAGAAAGGAAGCAATGCCAAACCATTTCTGAAAAGCCTTTCCAAGAAAATTGCAGGGACTTCTCCAGGCAGTGTCTGTTCCATTGAATACAACTGATTGAAAGAAAAAAAAATATTATTTTGGTTTGTCCAGGCTAAACTTAGAACATGTTCCTCTTTTGAGTAGGCTTTACACTTCCTGTTATCTTGTTTAGCTGTTGTCATCATTTCATTATTAAGGTTTAATTTTTTTTATTAAAATGTTTTAAATTTCTTTTAAGTGAATGAAAATGCTCTACCTGGAAAGATAGCATTTTGAAGAGAAGACTTTTATATGAAAGAATCACAGGTATAGAATTCATGTTATTTCCCTTTAGAGGACTGGTAGAGAAATGTTGGTCCTGGATCTCTGAAAATGAGATCATAGCAAAAATGCCAGCTCAGTCTCATTATGATATGAATTTTGAAATTAGCTAAGCCTATTTCACTGCCTCTTCCTGGGTTCCATTGCTTTAATTGGATACATAGATTAAACGAGTTGCATTTTTCTGAGCTGCCAGTATGCTTCTTAACACTGGATCTAAATGTCAGATAGCTCAAGCACTGAGTGTAATTGATGGAGGGGGGGGGGGGAATACCATATTCAAATCATTTGGAATACAAATGTTTCCAGCTCACAGTGCTTAGCTACCTTAACAATCGAGAGTAATTTCCCCTGACCAATAGTCAAAATATAAACTGATCTTGAGAGCATGAAATTCCAGCAAGTAATGATAACATTGGATGCACTGGAAATTATTCATTCTTTGTGATTGCATCTTCATGCGTCTGCCTGGTGTTTCCTACTGAGTTAGTCTGCCGGTCTGGAAAGCTAAAATTCCCAGAAGACTGTCTGATATATTGCAGTTTCAATATGCTAAGCATAAGAGAAGAATTAATGATAGAGAGACCTCCTGATTTTTGCTATTTGCTATTACATTTGAAGTAAAAATAAGGTCCTCATTTTATAATATTCAAAGATACATGGCAGGGAGTCCCGTTTTACTACCAATCCATTTTTGATAAAGTTATAGTTTAATTGCAAATTTCAGTCTTGAGAAGAAGTTATTTCCTATTAGCAGAGTATCATTCTGAAACAATATGAAAAGTTAACTAGCATATGATGCTAGTCACCTTTAACAGGAGGCAAGTACAATAGGTTATTAAAAACAGCAATAGTTCTGTTTTGCATGATGCTGCTTAAAGCCCAGTGGGATATTTTTGGGATATTTGAGTGTAATACTTCTGGTGAACATGAAACATACAAAATAAAATCTATGATCATTCTTGGATACTAAAGGTGCATATCCAAGAATGCATGAGGAGTGTATCAAGGAGTGTATTATATAGTTTTTATTTGCAAATGACATATACTACTCCTTTTAAAGGTTGTCCTCGAAAAAAGATGTTACACTAAAAAAAGTCACTTATGACCATTGTTATGTCCTGAGAACTCTAGGAGTTCTCACTCAGGTCCATTCACTTTGCGTGGGCGTTCTTCCCTTCACTCATTGGTTGGTTCTCCCCAGCAGCCAGCTATAAAAGCAGGCTGCGGGGTCCCACCAGTTGCTGATTGTTGCGAGCCAGTTTCCAGGCGTGGCAAGCACGGTCAGCCCTTTATTGTTATAATAAAGTATTGTTGCACTCATGCTCTGGTTCAGCCTCTCTTTTCCCAAACTTAACACTGGCGACGAGGA